ATTCTTGAAGGTCGTCGGGATAAGAGCAATCGAGATCCTGCACATAATCTCTTAAGAAAATATCCTCACAAGAAATTCGTATTACATTTTTATGGGATTTGTAAATGCAAGCACAAGAATATCTTATGGAGGCTTCTGCACAGGATCCTACCAAAATCTAGTCTGGCCGTGTAGTAGGATTTTTCCTGTTCTTTCATTCTCAGAATTTTCTTTGATATAATAAAAAATATGTACAAATTTCTATGCATGTACAGGCACTGTGGAGGCTGCTACAGATTTTTCTATTCAGGAGGCCGTTTTGCATGCGAAAAGCCGCGCCGCGCCTTACGTTCCAAAAACAGCAGTAACATTCAACGTTCAACATTCAAATTTGCAATCCTTGCTTAGGCGGTATGTTATGGTGCTGACTTGCTAGATGGCATTATGGGGACTGTCAGTGAAATATTTATCTCTGGTAGTATATCGGATAGTACACCCGCCTGTCACGCGGGAGAGCGGGGTTCGACTCCCCGCCAGAGAGTGTTATCTCGCTCACCGTAATCTTTTGCCCCCTACCCCTTTGATCACCTACCAATACTATAATGTTCGCAGTCCCTTTTGACAGTCTAGCATTGAAATATTGACGCCTTTTAGATATTTACGATATTACGGATCTCACAATTTCATCCTCCATACACAGACCACGTATCTATTTATGCAGTATCGATTCATTCTGCCCCGTCGTCCTACAACAATCCAGCCAACACCCCAACCGCCCCTAGAACAACCGCAACCACTCCATCCACCATGCCCTCAACTCTTCCAGCCGCACTGCTGCTGTTATTATCGGTGCTCGTACTGGTTGAGGAGTGACCTGACGACGTCCTAGTGCTGGAACCGGAACCGGAGCCACCTGACATTGTGGGTGTGCTTCCAACAGGGCCAGTCTCGGTAGTCGACTGAGCGGCCTGGGATGTAGCAGATGCATACCTAGAATAAAGCAAGGTCAATCAACAGAAGGGTCTAGTGCAGAGAAAAGACGTACGCAGAGCTAGCAGCACCGCTGTCACTGTCCGTGTCCACCAACACCGCGTCAATGATGTGCATGACACCGTTACGCAAGATTACATCAGGCTTGGTCACCTACGAGGGTAGAGCGTAGATCAGTCACTGGTCACGTAGAGTCGGATTGCATATTGCTCACCATAGCCTTGGCACTTCCGTTACCGCTGAACACGAACACACCCGTGCTGTTCGCTACGACGTCAAGAGGCTCGCCCGCCGCAGACGTGTAGTTCTGTTCCATGAAGTTCGGGCTGTAAGCAGCCGTGCCGTTGATGACCTGGAGGAAGGATAGGTGAATAAAAGTTTGAAGCAGTCGCGCGGATAAGTGCGTACATGGTTCCCCAACAGATTTGCTAGACCCGAGCCATCGTTACCCAACGAGCTCAGTTGACTTTGCACTGCTGCGATCGCCGAATCCGTAGGCGCGAACAGCGTAAACCCTCTCGCATTGTCATTCAGAACCTGCGAGCAGACATTGTCAACACTGCAAGTCAGCCGCAATGAAGGTCGAGAACTCACGCTCAACAAACTGCCTTGCCCATTGGGAACCTGCACATTGCTCAAGATTGTACTCAGCGTGCTAAGATTGTTGCTCGAAAGTGCGGCCTCAAGGGATCCCGGAATATCAATCACCGCATCGACGACGTTGATGTGCAGGTTCTGGTACTGGTTCTGCTGAGTGACCGATACCGCGGTACTAGAGTAAGAGGCATGTCAGCCTCCTTGGGGCAAAGGGACGCATAGGGATCAGACTCACTTCTGGTTCAAAACGGTGACGTTACCATCCGACATTCTACTCCATGCGACGACTTGACTCTTCCCGCCAGGGAGCTGCACGAGGCTCATATCGTTCAACATGGTCCGCCCAACGGTCGTGTTAGGGTACGTCTCCGTCAGGTTGGTGAAGTTGCCGTATACGATGTGATACAAGAGCACGTCGGCGAGGAGCGAAGGCGAGGAAGTGATGTTCGAAGGAACGCCGGCGACTACCACCAGTCCGTTACTCACAATGCTAAAGAGAGGATGAATGCTCACAGGCCTCGTTTGTCGGCGCAAATATTGTCAGCTCCCTGCTCTGCGCATTCTCGCTCAGCGCTGCCAAGAGCTCGCTCCCCGTGTCCGTCTGATTGATTTGCTTAGTCACGTTCACCAGCGCCCCGAGATTCATGCCATTCAGAGCTTCAAGTAGGCCGGTCAGGTAGGTCGCGTTCTGCGCACCGGCCCCCATGGGCGTGGAAGTGCTGCTCGGTGAGGCAGAGGAGGAAGCGACGGAGGAGGAAGGCACGAGGGATGAGGATAGAGTGGAGTAGAGGGTGGTGACGG